AGCAGGTTGATGCACCAGATCCGGATAAGAACATGCTGGCTCTCTATGTAGAAGCCTTAATTGCCATCAGACCTGGAGTAGGTCTTACCTTTGTATAAGGTGATTTATGAACACGTCCAATTGACCAAATCTAATCATACCACATCTTTCTCAATCTTGTCAGATAAAATTACCCGATGAAACTCTCTCTACCTCTGATTTCTTCCCTTTCAAGTACTATCATTTCATTTCCCAGACCGGCTCTCCTAACCCAGTTGCCCTTCAGGCTAGTCTCAGATTACTGTGTTCAACGGTCAATAGGCGCGCAGAAGGTAAGGATTTGATTTGCATTTTTTTTTTCTCGGATCAAGCACGTTTGTTAGGGGAGACTGATAGTCAAGCGTCGCGTAGACTTCAATCAATTTTTTGGGGAACAGCTCGACCAGTTTTGGGCGTCCGAAATCGAGGCCAGCCGACTTACACGGCCGCGCTCAAGGAAACTTGCGATCATGATGTGGATCTGGATTATCAAGGGTTTGGTCGTTCGATCTGACCCACGGGGGTACACGATGCTCGACCGAATTTGCGGTTTGTTGAAGGAGGTCGGGGAACTTAAAGGCTGGATTGCAAAACGCTTGGCCGTCGTTGTTGATCATAAGGACGAGACTATCAGTCCCAAGAACTTTGCAGTCATCAAGGTAGAACATTCGCCCCCCTCATCCACAGTAGTTTGTTTCAGATTGGATACTAATTCGATTTGGGATGACGCTCAGTTTTTATCCATGCAACGCGCTTGCCATTATCTGATCGGTCGTCTAGTTCGCGACTATGCTGAGGCAAACGGTGTGTCACAATCAGTTTCTTTCATACCTAGGCCGATGAAAAAATGATTAGGAAATTCCAGCTCAAAGCAAAAGAACTCATATTTTCCATTGTTGATTTGAAATATCTTCAGAAGATTCACGTTGGGTTTATCTTGTCGGATTGGCCACTTTACTTGCACGAGTGGGATCCTCAGTGACCTCCCTGCAGCATGAAAAGGTCAGAGACGGGAAGAGAAGAATTGAAAATATCATTGTGTTATATTTTGAAGTGCTGATATGAGCGAAAGTGGTTCTAGATTATACCTTTGCTACTTGAGGCGTTAAAGCTACCTGATGTGGACGTTAAGTTGGATAGCTTGGTGACCATCCATGACCTGATTGAAAACGACAAGCGAGGGACCGTCTTCGAGAATCACTTATCTTCTCTAGTATCGGCCTTGTTAATCAACTGTACCTTCGGAAGGGGTAGCATCAATGGCGAAGACAGGTCCAAGACACCTAATGACTCAGCGCCAAAAACGGGAGGAACATCTGCGGTAAGTTCTGGTTTCTGTGCATCATATGTAATCTGATATCCTTTCATCTCAGCTTGTGATGGCTCTGTGGTTCCATTGAGCATGGTCGCTAATCATGTGTTGGGACTTGCTCGCATTGCGTGGAACAGTCGGTCAGGCTTTTCGCGCTGAAGATTCTGGCACTCCTGCCGAGCAAGGCCGGCCACCCGTCGTCCTCAACCCCCGGCCCTTCCCCGCCACCGTCCGGCCTGCCATCCAATGTCGCCAAGGGCGTCCTACAAGGCCAACGGAACAAGGTGTTGCTGGCCCTGTCCAGTGCACTCGACGACCCCAAACGCGACGTCAGGAAGATCGCCGTTGATTGTCGCGCTCACTGGTTCTCTCTAAACTTGACTTGATTTCGATCATGGCACCCCATGCGTTCAACTTACCACAACTACTCCTTTTCCAAATTTTTAACCGTTTTCTATCGTTCATCTGCTTTTCGATCTATTTACCATGACTTTCGATTACGGAATACACCAATCTTACATAGCATGTAGTCGAGAATTACATTTGTTACATGTGTATGTAGTCAAAATACTGTCCCCCTAGATTTCATAGTATGCGATACCAACAGCCATACATCGGCATATTTCACTCGGGAAACAAATGTGACCCCTGTATATAACCGACCCAAGTGAGTTGGGTGGTGTGATGACCGGGCTGAGGTTGCTTATCCCCAGGAATTGATTCGGGGAAGAATGTGGAAGATTCAGAAGAATGTCTCGCCTGTATATCAGCCTGTACAAGCCCGTGGCTGTACTCGAACTTCCCAACCAGAAACAGCCAACCGGAAATGCATGACTTCTCGGATTGGCTTTCTATGGCCGATTTCTTTGAATTATAGCCAGTCTTCCATCAGTCTCAACGTGCGGTGAACCGCCAGCAGTTCCTCCACCTCTAATTTCATCAACATGCACTGTTTTTCATTCTTGCGGAATATTGCGATCTACACCTGGACAATCAGCTTCAACTTCACTCCCAGCTCCGGGAAACTACATGGTCAGTCTGTAACCAGATACGTCGTGGAATATCAAAACCACCATGCACTCGTTCAAAATCAAACAGCTGTACGCATCCATCCAACTATTCACCCTTCTTGGTTTTTTCGCCTTTTGCTGCTTCAAACTGATTTTGGGCTGCGTGGGAAACTTCAGTACTTCAGGAATTTATTGGAAACGCACTTGAAGAGCAACAACATCGGGTTCAATGACATTACGCCGTTCAATGAAGCCCCCAGCATTTTTTCCGGCTTCTCACTTTCAGTTCACACTCCACACAATCCAAAAACCATCAAAGCGGCCTCCTTTGTCAAAGTTTGCTCGCATTTCTCTTCTTTTACTGATTCGCGTGGAATGTCCATCCAGCGTATTTTGTGTGTTACAATCGCTAACGGATGATCTCGTACACAGGCAATCTTTCCCGTTCTGCCAGTCGCACGCCCGGTCTTTCTGCACACACCCAGAGTTCTCAACACTCTACAGGTGGGGAATCCGGCGGATGTTTTCGAGCCTCATGTTCAAGTTGGCATATCACGTCTACACAAAAAGGGATATCGATGCAAAGGGATCAACATAGCCGTCATTGACACTGGCTGCGATTGTCAACATCCGGCCTTGGGAAAAGGCTTCGGGAAAGGATTCAAGATTGCGAAAGGATACGATTTTGTGGGCGACGCTTACAATGGATCGAACCTGCCGATACCCGATGACAATCCATGCACGTCTTGTGCTGTGAGTGCCTTTCCCAGTCTTCTTTGTATCTCTGATTCTAACGATGTTGCTATATATTTTTTCGTACCAGCTGCATGGTACTCACATCATGGGTGTTCTCGCCGCTAACGAGAATACTATGGGCTTTCGAGGAGTATGTCCAGATGCAACAATGTCCTCGTACCGAATATTTGGCTGTGAGGAAAATACAAACGACGAACTGGTCGCTTCAGCCTTGCTGCGAGCGTACAAGGATGGGGGTTTGTAGCAAGTGCTTCTTTCTCAAAGATTCACATCTCAATAACTCACGTAACCTTGGTAATTCTTAAATTTTCAGCCGATGTTTTCTCGTTATCTGTTGGCGCCCCCGGTGGTTGGGCTGGAGGATCGATAGCAGCAGTCATCGCCAGCCGGATAGCCAAAAGGCGTGCAGTCGTAGTCTCGGCTGGAAACCTGGGTGATGTAAGTATTTCCTGAGCAACAATGAGACTGGCATCCCGTCAAATGTTGACACTCGATTTCATTTAAGGAAGGTATGTTCTTTGCCACCTCGCCATCCACCGGCACCGGCGCGATCTCGGTAGGAAGTGTCCAATCGACCGCCCTTGTATCATATCCTTTCACGACTTCCCTCACTGGCTCCCGAACCTTCAACTACTTTGCTACCTTTACTATGGAACCTGGAACCTTTCCTGTATACCCGATAAGCTCTACGAAGGATGGCCTGGATGACGCCTGTACACCGTTACCAGCCAATCTACCTAATCTATCGCAACACATCGCATTAGTCAGGCGTTCCGAAACACAGTAAGCGACTCCCGACTTTTTTTTGGCAAAGCCATCGGACTGACATCCAGTTTACAACACAGCGCATGCACATTCGAAACCCAATTGGGCCACTTGCTCAAGAAAGGCACACACAAGATCCTTTGGGCCAATGTTTGTTACACATTTTTCTTGCCTTCATTGATTGACCATTGTTTTTTTGACTATCTGTTGGGTGTTGCTACCCCGGTTCAACTTAGAATAACTCTTTCCCAGAATACGTCGCGCGTGATGCTTCTAACGGGGTGTCTGTGGGTGTGGTAACTCGAGATATCGGAACAATGCTAAGAGAAAAGTATTTTGAAAATCCTGGAAAATTCAGTATTACCATCTCAAAGGATTTGGCGATTGCTCAAGGTATTTACATTGGTGTCGCAAGATATGGATAGTCTTTGAATCAATAAAGAATACTGACCACCTATAATTTTTCTCATTGAAATAGTTGCTGCCCCCGACAGCGGCAAAGTTAGTCCATTCTCCAACTAGTGAGCATCATCCATTTGTCTATTTTGGAAAACACTGAAAGCTGAAGCCCAAATTCCTTCCAGTGGTCCCATGTTCGATCTCGAATCACCGCAGCCTGGGGTACTTGGAGTTGGGGGCAACGTCCTATGTTTGTTGAACTCACACTCTGTTCCATGACTTTGTCTTTCCGTTTCTTTAGAGGTTAACCTTCCCCTCCTGTTTCGCACCCAAATTTAGCCACTTACCCCGTATCCGAAGGTTCATTTGTAAGCATGCATTCTGACGACTAGGTTTGATTATTCAGCCCCAGAACTGAGTCGAACATGCAATCCTTTGATGTAATGCAGGCTATCGCCTCAGGAACGTCTATCTCCGCGCCACAGGTCAGTTGTTATTTTCACATAGTATGTGGTTTATAATATGATGGCTGATGTATCCCAACGAATCTCAGATGGCGGGTATTGCAGCTCTGGTGATCAGTACGCAAGGGAAAAACATCAATCCACTTGAAATTTACACCAGGATCGCTTCCTCAGCGACGCCTGTTTCAAATTTCAGCGAAACTGGTATTCTGGAATGTAAGAAGGTTTCCCAGCATAGCCGTTCCGCGAATCAAAAGCTTATTAGAGTTGATTTTCATTATAGCCGTATGTCATCAGGGTGCAGGCCTAGTCAACGCTTGGTGTGCCGCAATGGCGACCACTGTGGTTTCAACTCATTCATTTTCTCTAAATGATACCCTCCACTTCAACGGGACGCAGTCTTTCTCTATTACAAATAAAGGCAAACAATCTGTTTCATATACCGTCGAGCATGTCACTGCTGGAACCGCCCTCACTTTTTCCGAAACCAACGTAGCAAACCGATGGCCAGTGCCGCTCATTCCTGGCACTGCAGACGTGTCTTTCTCAGTCTATGAATTTGTGCTCCGCCCAGGACAAACTCGCAAGCTCCAAGTGAAATTCAAAGCGCCTTTAGGTCTAGAAGAAATCTCGCTTCCAGTTTATTCAGGTTTCGTGATCCTTGTAAGTGACACGCTAACTCAACACCAGAGTGTCGCCCCTAAAGTACTCATGGCTTGTGACCAAATCTGACGATATGTATCACTAAAGAAATCCGACACAGAATGCGAGAGCCACACTATCCCTTACTATGGAGTAGGTGCAGCATTGAAACAGCGACCAGGTAACGTGTTAATATCAATTAATATGACATTTTTTTTTTTTTCAAAATTATACTAAGTTGATAGATTTGTTCCTGGTCGTAGTGCTCGACTATGGATATAGCTACCAAGACAATTATACTTTACCCGCACTAGATAGTGGTTTGACTGGATTGCCAGTCGAGGAGGGACATACCTTCACTTTGCAAGGGCTTGATGTCCCAATTGTTGAATATCGATTAGCGTGTAAGTCTTCATTAGAAATATTATCAGAAGATGATTTCCTGCACATTACTGATCAAATTGCGATATCTCCTACTTTAGTCGGAACTCCTTTGGTTCTATTTCACATTGTCAAAGGGGACACTGTTATACCAACATCTCTTTTACCTCAACAATCTTCACAAGAAAAAGCACCCAACCCAGAACCGCATCCCGTAACAACCCCTCCACCCTCTTCTAAAGTTTCTTCTCAAGACAGTACCGCCAACTCGCCACAAAATGGTCGGCTCCTCAAGAGAGCTGTAAATAGTGAAAAAAAACCCTTTGTATCATCCCTCCAAACCCGATGAATTTCCCGGCAGACTTCCTAATCAATTCCGAGGAATCCCATTGCTAGGGTCAATTAAGCCGTTTGAACAATTACAAAGATGGAAGCCAAGACATGCGTGTGTTTCAGTTTCATCTTTGAACAGCCCAGCCATTATCGACCCATTGGACCACACAGTTGAAATTGATTCCTTCTCTATTTGTAGGTTGGCTGACGCTGCTTCAATCGCTTTCAGCGGGAAGATATATGACTTGAGTGTTGCGAACTATCATCACGCTAAACCGATAACAGTCCCAGACGGAAAATATCGAATTCTAGTGAGGTGAGTGAGAACCGAAGATTGATGCTCCCTTACAGATTTGATGGCATGTCCAACTTACTCAAACAAAATTGACAATTTTCAGGGCTCTACGAGTGACAGGCGACCCTCGAGAAGAAGAGGATTATGAGGCCTGGCTTTCACCAATTTTCACCATCCGTCGTTCCAACCAAAAGCCTTAATAAGCCGATAACCCACTAATCTGCCTGTCATATCATATATCTCTCAAAACAATCCAACTCAACAAGCCTTCCTACCTTCGCCTTTTATGTATTCTGAATTTCCGCGGAGCGTACTGGATTTCAAGCCCTCCAAAACTGCAGCTGGTTCTAGTCTATTTCGATTTACCGTGTTCAAATCAACTGGAAGATCATTTCCAATCAAAAGACATTTCAAGCTTCATCAGTTTTCTTGCCTATTTGTAAACTTCACAAAACTTAATCACCACCTCATTTCTTCAATTTCTTGTTCAATAGAAAACCCCTGAATTCCGGGCCTACATGTGCAAACAATTCCTTAGGTCTGCTTTGCTCATTCATAGAGGATAGCTTCTGATTTCATCATGATTCCTTGCTTACATAAGCCTTCTTTTTTTTCCTAATTTGAAGTTCATAATCAAATATTGTACTTAGACATCAACTAATCTATTTGTTTGGCTTGACCACACCACAACATTATTTTTTTTCTTTTTAAAAAAACCTTTAATTCAACGCTTGGTTTGGACTAGTGCTTACATTCTTTTGATAAATGCTGATTTTTTGAAACCAAAATCAATTGATGTAAATATCTATGTTGTATAAATTGATGAAGAGGTGTTTGACCAAAAAAAAAAAAAAAAACATGAAATTAATGAGATGTGCTTTGTGAGGGATCAAGTCTTCATGATTTCCTGCTCGAATTTGGTGGGCCACATTCCTGTGAAAACAGGCCACACTCAAGTAGTTGAGGAAGAAAATGAATTGCTGCAGGTCATCAAAAGTATGGTGAAGCTCCAGATACCTGGAAACCAAGCGCAGAATTGCAACTCAGCAAGCTTCCTTTTCTTTCCTTTTTTCAAAGTCCTATTCCAATCACGGTCCTTGAGCAATGTGTACAGCTTTTGATGAAGTGTACACATGTATCGTGCATGGATGACCAGTTGAGTTGATGTGTCACCAAAGTGTGTGATTTCTCCGACAGTCCCTTACCGAGTTTTCCTAGGTTTTCCTCTAACTTAACTAAGTCCCTCCCAGTGGAGGGGGGACGCCGTCCCGCAGGGACCCTCCGAAGGAGGGACTTATGCGCAAGGCCGACCTGCCTGCTCGAGAGCATTAGGAAAATCAGCGTTTTTTTTTTATTCACTTTGCTGGGTTCATCGTTTAACATCGGTGGATGAAGTTGCCCACCAAACGGAGGAGCCTTTCCAGGAGATTCGATCTCTTGACTGAATGAGCTGGTGGGGTGACCCATTGCTGGCCCACAGGCCGCGGGGTCGCCTTTCCACGTAAGTCCCTCCCTCCGGTCGGCGCAATGCGACAAGTGGTTTACCACTCCGACAAAGGAGGGCAGGGACTTAGCTAAGTTAGGGTTTTCCTACGTAGTCATCCTTATCAAGAGCCGATATCTCTTTTGACTTGACTCTCGCCTACATACACAAACCCATCCTTCGAGCAGGGACCAAAGAACCGACAAGCATTGCACCTCATGGTTGAGTCTGGGTCGATCATCTTGGGAGTGGTGGCGATTCTCTCGGCGCTATTCCGGGCGTTTTTGAAGCCCAAGTTCGACCAAGCAGGTGAGGTTGCTTATATCCAATCTTGCATCAGACATTGGAAACAAGTCGGGCACATGCTGATTTCTTTGACCCGGATCACATCCAACGCTGCTCAGGTATCTTTAGGACCGGGACAAATCGTAACAACGAGCATTGTTCGACGATAGGCTTGGAGGCATGTGAGGACATATGGGTCGATCAACCGACAGGGTTGGCTTATTTGGCATGCAGCAGTCGCACACAGCGGGCGTTTTGGGAAACGGGAGTGGGAATACTAGAGTTGAGTTTTCAGGTTGTCTTTCCAAGAGTTTTACGCCGATTGTGTATTTTTCTGATTTGGTTCATCCCCATTGAAGAGCAGAAAAATTACCACCTCGCTCGCTTGATCATATCACAATCCTAGACCTCAAAACCCACGAGCACCGAAAAGTCGAACTGGTCAACTTACCACCCCACATAGTAAAGAACGGTATTTACGTGCATGGTATCGACCTGGTTGTTACTCCGAGTGATCCAACCGATAGCAGCGCTGCAAACCAAATGCCGCTTTCGGATGGCGCAGCCGGCGATCAGCTAGGCTCAAGACGAGCTACCATATACCTCATCAACCATCGACCTCCCTCGGACAGGAAGTCGGCCCCTTTGATCGGCGCTCAAAGCGTGATCGAGGTTTTCGATACCGTGTTGGGCGACTCTAAGGCAACACACACCACAACGATCGAACATGGTCTCATCTTAACTCCTAACAATCTTGTGGGTATTAGTGAGACGAGCTTCTATGTTACAAATGACCATAGTTCCAAAACCGGTTGGGTGAGCTTCCTTCCTGCATTTTCACACACTTCGCTTTTGCTTGCTCTTGATTTGAGTTAACCGCCTTTCGCAAAATTATGATTGACTCAGACCCGGCGTTTGGAGGTGTGTAATTTTATGACTTATGTCATCCAACTTACTCGAGTCATAGTTAACTCAATGTCATAATCAATAGCCGTTTTTCACAGATTCAGAGGTCAGATCTTTATGTTTTCTTGTTTGAACCAAAGTCCTTCTTTCGTTTACCATGTGCCACCTGCTTACGTCTTGGACTCAATGTAGATTGATAGCATTATATTTTGTTCGTTCCAAGACGAGCTGAACTGTTTGCCTGCAGTAAGCGGTAAACATCCGCACCCCAATGGAATTGCTAAGGTAAATCAGAAATTTATGTGGCGGAGAAATGTATTTACCATCTTTGATTCCACTAGGGGCCCGGGGATTCGTTGTACATGGTCACCACTTTCGATCCTTATCTGAGAGTGTATGAAATGCAAGCCGACTACACTCTAGCCCTAACAGACGAACTCAAAGTTGAGCGAAAATTCGAGTTTTATCTGTATGCTGATTTCCTTTTCAAGAAAAAAACTGATCAGATGTTCCACCTGAACAATCCACAATCTCTTTGATCCCAACATGATCCTATCTATTACCAGTTACCCAGAGTAGTGGACAATATTTATGTGACCCCCAAAGGATCAATCTTTATGGCTGGAATACCATCACTCTATAGGTTCAAGAAACGTCTGTTGGGGATGCAAGAAGGCAACTTTGATATACTGTCTCCCTCTGATGTTTGGAAAGTCTCGAATGAAACAAGCTCTGATGCATTTTACGGTGGAAGATTGAAGGTAGAACAGGTAAGAGAACTGAAATTCTTGTAATGTGTACTGTTTCAAGTCTTCCTTCTGGGTTACATATGATGGGGATTTGATGATTTCCAATATTTGGGGTCTTTCCTCTAATTAGGTCCTAGCAGATGATGGAAATAAAATCAATGGAAACACGGGTGTGGCTGTTTGGGATTCAAAGCTGTATCTGACCGGTAAGTTTGAACTTCCAATTCCTTCCTTGGAGTCCGAATCATCCTTTTCTTGTTCTTTTTTGCCAAAAAGAATGAGAGTGTTAGTTCCCCTGATGGCATTATTGATGCTTACAAAGGATGTTTTGATGTTGTTTTTAGGCCTTACAAGTCCATATATATCAGTATGTAAAATTGATGAGGAATTGGCTCAGTGAATGATGTGAAACCTTTCTCCTTTTTTCTCTCTTGCTTGCTTGTAAACGTCTGTTTTGATTGTGTCACACCAGCTGAAAACCTCAACCCCTCTGGGATCTGTGGAAGATATTTTAGAAAAATTGCAAACACACACAAATACGTCAGAAGGAATGAATCATTTTTCAAAAAAAAAAAAAACATCTTAACCAGGAATGAGAGTGTGTCTTTGTATAGGATGGTGACACATTTCCATTCAGGAATGAGCTTGCTTGATGTTGTGGGATTATGGCGGATCACCAAAAGTTATTCAAGACTGGAGTAGAGTATGTAAGCTCTGAATGATTAGACCATGTGCCATTGACCAGGAAGGTGAATCATTGAAGCACAGATTCCATTAATAGTGCAATTCTAAAAACTCTTCATGTTTTCTCCTTTGAGTGACTGGTTATCACAGTTTGCTTTTTGCACATTAAATCTATTTCGTATCTGATGATACATAACACTTTTTATGCATGTTGCAGACTGGATTGAAATTGTACATAGTTGAAGTACAGTGGGTGGACCGTTATTTTTGGCTGCTTGTTTTGGATTCTACAGCTTCAAAGCACAAACTTCAAGTCACAAGACTTGGTGAAGGGGTGAAGAATAGGTCCCAGAAAATGAATATGAAGAAATAAAAACAAAAAACAAAGTTTCAAAATTTGTGAAAAATAAAAAAACAAAATGTTTTTTTCCAAAAGCTTTGTTATTCATTTTGGGGGAGTGGGAGTGCTGAGAGAACAAAAGAGTGGAACATGACAAGAATGATTATAAATGAAAAAAATTGGAACCAAAAAAGGTTGAGCCAGGTTGGTTGTCCAGATTGAGAGTGCAAAACAGTAAATTCTAGTGCTTTACTGCAATGTGAGCTGGTGAATGCCCCACTCAACAACTGGTTAAAACTATATGGTAACCACTTTTTCCAAAATTTTCATTTATAATCATTCTTCCTATTTCCCATTCTTTCTTTCTCTCTGCACTCACACTTCCTCAAAATGAATATCAAAGCTTTTGAAAAAAATCAATTTTATTTTTTATTTTTCACAAAATTTGAAACTTGGTTTTTTGTTTTTGTTTTTTCATATTCATTTTTTGCAACCTATTCTGCACCACTTGACAAAGTCTCATGACTTAAATCTGGTGCTTTGAAGCTCTGGGATCCAAAACAAGCAGCCAAAAATAACGGTCCACCCACTGTACATATTTGGATCTGGCAGGTGTCACTTGAAACATGATTGCAACTCATGAGCATTATCTATTAGCACTTCAGATTAGTAAAGTGAGGATACATGAGTACCAATCAATTCAACCAGATTCAACCCTGTCTGATAAAAAAAATCAAAGTCAAACCTACATCTTTTTTACATCCTAAAGGATCATGGGTGGACTAATCTTAAAAACACATGTGTTTCATTCACACATGCTGCATGCTGTTGTTTTGGGTAAGAGCTCAACCTCACATCTTTTAGAAGCTTACTTCATGAGGTTTTGACGCGAGTGTACCAGACTTTGCTTTTCTTTGGTTGAATTACCCCCACGACCGCTTGGCTTGAAAAATGGATTTGATCGGGGCAAGAGCACCAGATGCGATCGAGGGCCTTCAGAATAGTATCGAAAGGCTACTTGAACATTTAGTCTAATTACACGAATCAAGGCAAGTCAAGGAGCGCGAGCATTGGGCCTTTCTCGGACTGGATCGCCAAACCCAAACCAGATCTGTAAGATCTAAGCTATGCAGTTCGATCGGGCAGCCCCATGTTGGCCTATTGGGGATGGTAATGAAGTTTGAAAAGGTCATCCATACCAATCCATTCCTTGTGTCTTCATTTCTCTATGTCTCATCGGGCGTTTGAAGGGTAGCAGCTGGCAGCGGTGCTTACAACTTTCGCCAAATCTAACAGAATCAAAGGACTGTGCTCTACCATTTGCGAAACGGGAATATGGACACCGTTGAATACCAAGGTGCAGTGCGTATTGATGCGGTTAGGTGGCCTTAAGTTCTACCTCACTCTTTTTTTGCTTGCTCAATACATTAAACCCTTTACTTTAGCTTGTGAAGATATTCCCCAGGATCTCGGTTTGAAGCATGTTGTATAGAGATTTGACATATAAAATACTCAACTCCTGTCTGAACGCAGTTAGTTTTTTCCTCCTTTCGTGATCCCCTTCTTTCTTCTAAAATCAGTTGATCTTAAGTAAGCTAAGGAAAGAAATATCTTCGGATCAACCGACTGCAGTGATGTGGAAATTTTTCAGTGTCATCGCGATATTAGTTTCACTCCCACTTTCCAGTATAACTATAAGCTCATCCATTGGTGCAGACTTGAATAATGCACACCCACTCCGCATCCCTTTGGAAAAGAAGCTGTTTGTGAGGGGTGGCGATGGGATCTTCAATTTCACTGCCGCTCAATTGTCACATCAGCATACGCTTAGGTAGGCCAGAAGAGAGGATTTCTGATCGTCGCTTTCACTTGCTTGATACTTTTGCCAACACTTATGTTGTTTGTTCTGTTTTGCTTGCGAAAAGAAAATATCGGGGCACTTGTGAGAAATACAAACACGCCCGAAGCTTTTGGCCCAGCCTATCCAAATTCTCAAGGCCATACCGTCATCATAGGCGCCAAATTGAAAGGTTAACTAATCAAGGCAATCAGAGTAAGCATCAAGATCATAATATATCCAAGTCTTACCATAGACCGAAAGCTTATTCAGTGAGATGATTTAAAATTGAAGTGTGGACGTAAGTCACGATACAAAATATGCAGAAGCTTTGCGCTTACAAACACTCCAAAAACAGTGGACTCGTAAAAATTGGAACGCCAAGCCAAACCTTCAGTGTAGATTTCGACACGTGGGTTGATTTGGTTTTCTTGCATCTATCCCTCATATTCCTCTGAAAACATTAAACGCTTTCTTTCCCTTGCAAAATCATTGAAACAGGGGGTCGGGAGATTTTTGGGTTCCGTCAATCGATTGCAAAGATAACCCATGCGGCTCTAAGAATATTTATAATGCATCTGCAAGCAGCACATCTACAAGACTTCCGGATTCATTTAAGGTTAATTGTCAGTTCTTCACAGATTTATGAATGGCAGCCGCTGCGTAACCCCACCTGATCTTAGTTTGGTTCTTGGCTTTGGAGGGCTGGTATAGATGGAGATGGATCAACTACATCAGGAAACCAATACAGAGATTCGGTCAAATTGGCAGGAATCACCATTGCCAACCAGACCTTCGCCGGTGTATCGAAGCTGAGCGACGAATTTCAACACGACCCAACAGATGGCGTATTAGGTCAGGATTTAATGCGATTAGATTACATCAAGAAAATGCCACGATTCTGATGATAAAATCTTGGATTTTGGATCCAGGTCTAGCCTATCCCGCAATCTCTCATTTGAAGTCGCCTTCGTTCATTGAAAACGTGTGTATCTCGCGTCATACTTGTGATTAAATATGCAATCATCTAGTTGCTTATTATTTTTGTTTTTCTTTCAAAAAAAAATATCTCCGCAGGCATTTAATCAAGGATTGATACCATCCAAGACGTTTTCTTTCAAATTAGCCAACGAAGGTGGTGAGCTATATTTGGGGGGAGTGAATCCATCCAGGTTTGTAGGTACACTAGAAGCACATCCAGGTGAGTTGAAATTGGTGCATCTTGAGTGGGATTCTGGCGAATTTTTCAAAAAAAAAACTATCTTGACGGACAAACATGTGTTTTTTTGAATAGTTATACGACAGGCATATTGTGAGCTAATCAAACTGATATTTTATCTTTATCCAAGACTAGCCGAGTGCTAACGCGCAATTCTCGCTTCGATCTTCTAGGGGAGATTGGTAATGGAAGTGTCAATGTTAATAGCATCAACATCAGTCAAAATGGCCGAATGATTCTTGATAGTGGCACAACGATTATGTGAGTTACTCTCACAGCGCAATTTGAAAAAAATCAGACCGTGATCATGAACCGGCAAGCAAATGTGAGTTTTAGAAAACAGAATGAAACCCTTTTTTAATATTTCGTTAGTCTCGACGAAGTTTTGTTGAAAGTAAAATAACAGATGGCTCTTCCGATTTGTTCAAGTAGGATTCAGTAATCAATCTTTACATTGTTCCTTCGTTCCAGATATGGACCAAAGCTAGCTGTGGAAAAACTATACTCTTCGGTCGACGGAGCAAAGAAATACGAGAAACGGGATGGCCTTTGGAAATGTGGGTCAATTTTCCAATGTGTTTATAAGCAATGATGTGCTAAGATAATCCATCACAGTCCCTTGCGTGAGCGCACCATCGGTTTCTTTCAGCTGGAACGGTGGTGGGCAATGGGCAATAGACCCGAAACGAATGTCACTAGGTAAAGTGGAGGCTAACTCAGCCGAATGCATCGGTGCTATCTCGAGTCAAGCTGTCGGCCTGAATGATTCCTGGCTACTGGGCGATACATTCATGTCTGTAAGTGTGGATATGCCAATGCCTCATTTGAAGCTTTCAGGGTCATCTAATTTCGGTTTACTCTTATGATAATTTATCAGAATGTTTACAGCGTCTTTAACCCAGTCGGGGGTGGAACTGTTTCATTCGCCACACCGGTATAGAAATCATAAGCATATCAACTCCTTCAATTATCAGTCATCCTAACCTAATGCTTGCCCACGATGAGCGCCAATTAGTTTTGGAAAGTCAAAAACCATCTCACATCAATCATGGCCACTGGTGTCCATATTGTTTTTGGCCTTATCTTGTGTAGATAGGCTATACTTTGCAATAGCTTAAATTTAATGAACCCCATCTGTTTGTACTCGCAGGAGGTGTGCTGCATGCTACGCGCTCCTGCGGAAACGCCGGGGGCACAGATTCAAAAGCAGATAAAGTATTTATGTGCCCAAATATCACAGTGACGCAGAGACAGCAGGTCATAGTCGGCATATTTTGTCTTTCAAGATGAGCTATGAGAGGGAATTAATTGATTGCAAATTAGATGTTTAAAAGGATCATTGCGCATACTGAGAAATTGCTTATTATTTCGGACAAAGTTTTTAAGGTAAGATAACCTGTGTTGATTCAACATTTGTTTTTCAAACAATGCGAGATCTGTAACGCGCAAAGAATGAACGAAGCACTTGCATGATGAACTACTACTTAAAGATACGGGCGTTCGAATCAGTCCTAAAAGTACTTAGCATATGAAAGATACTTCTTCGAGTGAGTCTTACCATAGTTATTACAATGTCATCGTAGTTGGTGTTACAACCTTCGGCTGAGGCTGGCCGAGAACCTGCTGATCATCACACGCGATTGAAGCCGAAAGTCCTTGAAACTTGCCAAGATCCGGTGGGACTCTTTTGTAAGTTCGACAGGCAGCTTCGCGATCTAAGGTAGGTACGGAGCTGAGTTCAACTTCGCATGCGCCTAAACTGACAGTTTCAGTGTCCTTGCTTTTCGTTTTAATCACAACCTAAGAATAATATCTGAATTAATTCCCTTCCTAAGGCTCAGTTTCAAAAGCTCAATGCAAACATACCTTTGCCGTTACGTGGTACGTGACTGTCATAAATTTGGTCTTGCATGTGTCGCCGATGGAATAATGATAGACACTCTTGGGACGCGGAATGGTTAGATCTACACTTCCACTCCATGCAAAGCTTGACCGGGAAGCCGTTCTCTTCTCTCGATCAGAGGACGTAATCGGAATCTCGGCCGCTTCAACGATGGAAACGACGGGCTTTCGGTGGGGGCGCAAGGCTGGTAGTATGCTCGGCTTTCGGCGGAGTTTGCCAAGGCTTCGAGTCGACCTCAACTTGGGAACTGTTGAAGATGGGGCGTCTGACAAGGAAGCCGCGAAAAACAAGGGTTTTGAATTTTGGGGTGGAGGATGCCCGACGTTAGACGTGTCAACTGATTCCGTATCAGTCATTAAGGTTCGTTCGAGGGCTATGATAACTTTTTTGAATTTGGGCGGATCCAAGTGAGTTTCTCGCAGATAGTCTGTGTTGATCGAGAGGGATACTGTGAGGTGATCCCCACAGGAGACTTGGGTAGGGCAAGAAAGCGAATAACGGATCCGGGGCGCTGTTGTGGATCCATGAATATGTGTGAGAGTTCCTACGGGGGACAAGTTGTGGAAGTTTGTGAGATGAAGTGGATAACACTTTGTAATGGTTTTCTCTCCGGGAGCCCCACGGACGACTGTTAGAGGATAGTGGTCAGTTTATCATGTCTGCCTTGCTTAGCCCATGGTTGGAAGCTGGAAACACACCTGCTTCTAGCTGCCACCAACTCCTCCAATTTTTGTATGTCATCGAACCGATGGCAAACCCGAGACGATTAGGGTCAGTGGCTGTTCGAGGGACAATCAACCTCCAGTGGCTTTGATAGTCACCGATAAGGGTGTTCAATTTTTGAGGATTATCCGGAGTTGGCCAGATATATGACTCAGTTTCCCATAGGATGTTCAGGTTTTCAGGAAGGTGGTTCTCGTTGAAGTGTTTGTTGAGTTGTGCTTGTCCGCCAACCGCTTCATAGCACCTCAATCGAACAAGGATCTGAGCCACGGCGATATCTTCTCCTTCGTCCCGCGAGTCTAACTTGATTGTACCGGCTACCAAAACAGGTGAAAGACCCAAGTGTCCAGTATGAGGGAAGTACTTGGTACAATTCCCCTTCCTAGGGAGAAGCGAAACGGAGACCATCGCTGAAAAAGAAAGAAGCAATCAAAAGAAGTCCAGCTTCAAGGGTGAAAATTGAAAAGGTGATCAAGCGATTTATGTATCACTGTTAAAGAGAGTGAGAGAAGAATGGACGATTGTGCACACCGAGGCGCTGGCTGATACTGTGGTGCCCAGGACATATAAAGCTGTCCCGGTGAGCGGGAAGCACTCAAAACGTCAGGCCATTTGGGATGGGACGAGTTAGTGGAACGGATATGATCACGACACAAAAGGAGGGATAGTTAGTACAATGATTGGTACATCACTCGGTGCCCCATCACAACTAGCTTTGTTCTGGTGATGAAGATCACCCGAGGTCGAAATGTTCACTAGTCTGTACAACTCAATGGGGTATGGCTATGGATGAACCCAAGTTGAGGGACTCGGCGGTAGATCCGTTCTTCGAAATCTGGCCCAAAAGGATGTTTTAATTCCATAGTGGTGGGTTTCCTCAAGGACCGGTTGCAAGGATCATGAAGGGTTCAAGGAACTGACGTACTAGATTCTTTCCGGTGCCATGACTCATCTAAGTATCATAAGACGAGTCACGCGATGCAGACCCAACAGCTTTGAGGTCGAAATGCTGATTCCATTCAACGTCAGGTTTTGATTGATCGAAACAGCCAGAAACCCGCAGAGGCTCATCACAATCAAACTAGCAGATTTTGATATTACGGACGTGGCCCAGTGCGACTGAAGATATTTTTGCGGGACGCTAAATGCGTCCGCTGGCCTCGAGTGATTAAGATAAGGAAAACAAAAGCATTGGCACAGTCACAGGTATACATACGTTGTACTGGCTTCAAATCCAGTACTCATATAACTGCGCCCAGTTAGCAATGAGACGTGGGTTTCAAACTCGACATTAGATTCCAGGTTTGACAATCCGTTGGAGACAAACAACGCAAGAGTCTCCCAAAGAAAGCGCTGGTTAATCCACATTCGCTCGGAGCTCTCTATTGCTTGAAAATCTCAATCATGGGGCCTAACTGGCGAACCCCGCTGATCTTTCTTGTTCACCTTGGAAATATTCTTCCAGCCAAAAGTTTAGTTCCATCGGAAGGCCACTTTGATTTAAAACGGGTCGAATCAACGAAGTGCGAGCAAGAGTTGCACGCTCTTTCCTGACTGCCCTTTCGGAATCGAAACGAACAGACTCCTTACTGATACCTCGCAATTGTTTTAGAAATCTCGGAAATTTGAGCGAGCATCCTCTGCGATTAAGTCTGAGCCTTTCAATAGACGATGAGAGCTCAACTTCCCCCCCGCTTGTGAATCCCAAATTGGCAGAAGGGAAAAAATGCCTGAAATTTCCCGACTCAGCAGGTTTGTATCATTTTGTCTACTTTTCTAAAACCATCCTACCAACTAGACAATGTTTTCTCTTGGATAAATAATTGCAACTGCAATTGGTGATTGGAATTTGTTTCCATTCTCAGTTGAAGCACTCGAAGCTCCGCCTGGTTTCAAACCAGTCTTATCAACGAAAAAAGTAATTGAAGAGCTCGATTGCATGGGTGAGGGCTCAACCAGTTGCTCTCAATTCTCCGATCCAAGATACATTAATAACTGATTATAATTTGGGTGATGTTTTCCCTTATGTAAAACAGCTTGGTCTGATCACAAATCCCAGGGGATCTTGCGGTCAGGTGATAATAATTCAGCATGGTATCAATATGGTGACAAGATAGGTGTTGGCCAACCTGCTATAAAAAATGAACAAGGTAAGAGGTGGTGACTTCTTGAATGTTGAATAGTGTGGCAGTTGAAAAAAAAGGCATTTTCCAGAACTGGAACCTCAGTTATCTCTCAAACTAGCTTTGAACTATCCAGAGGTACCCCATGAAAAGCAACGAGCTTCCTCAAATGAATCAAAATTGGTTTCTGGTGAAAAGGGGAGGCCAATATCTTTCAAAATGGGCCAATTTTCTAGTGAGTTTCTCCTCTTTACTCCCTGCATTTCAGTCTATTCTCTTGCTTGACTTGGAATTATTGACTAATTCTTGGGAACATATCTGGGAAATAACTAAGACATCAGAAGCCATAGTCAAATTGATACCCAAACTGTTGAAGGTAATCCCAATCCAGAATCTTCAAATACAGTTCGTAATTCCATCCCAGAATCAAAGATTCTTGTTCCTGGGACCAAGAAAAAAGATTCCACAGACCTTGCTCCAAATGATATAAAAGATTCAAAATCTACAAAGAAACCTGTAAAATCTTTGAAAAGAAAATTTGAAGAAAACTCATCTCAGAGAGAAGAAAACACACGAAAGTTGGGAGAAATGAAGGAAATGAAAAGTTGGATGTTTATTCTTGGAGCTTCATTATATATTGCTGATCCAAATCACCAGAAACTAAAATTAGTGCATGAGACAACAATTTCAGAATTCACTTGTAAACTTGCTTCAAGAATGAGCCAAATGATCATGGGAAAAGGAGGTGTCTCAACAAAAAAGCCGAAATTTGATTTCTTGCAATTCTCTGATCTACTGTGGTTTATCAATTGCAGATTCCTCCAAAGTCTAGGAAATCTCCAATCAGATGAATATTTACTGCAGGAGACAACATCATTGTATGATTGGATTCTTGGTATTTTCCAAGAAACAGAGCATATAAAAAAGGAACCTGTAACTGAGGCAAAAAGACAGACAGACCAACCCTTTATGATCAATCCCAAGTATGTGAAGATAGTTGAATTTCTTGAAGATGCCCTCCTCTCAGAAATAACAACAGGGAATATTTACTTTCTCAAAAAAGGAGTCACATCTCGTCACACCAAAGTAGGGGCAATTTCTGAGAATCAACCACTGATGGCCAAAGCAGTTGTTTATTTCTTGGGATATTACTATCAAGAAAGAAACCCAAAAAAGTGGGATATATTATTTGCTTCCTATGATTACTTCATCCATCACATCAAGAGAATGCAACTCAATCCATTGAATGGAAGATCTCAAGACAATATAAAGGGTAAATGGCTTTCAGAACTGGAAGCACTTCCTTGGGGAGGAAATCAAGAATGTGAAGGACCGTACTTGAGAAATTACAAAATCAACAAAAGATTTTATTTCAACCCATGTTCTTATCTGGAGGAATTAACTCCCTCACCTCATGTAGCCAAAGAATTTCAAGATGAAGCACCACAGAATACACTTGAGACTGAAGAGAATCTTCAGAAACTCTGGTCACTTCTCTTAACAGCAGTTGGTGATAGCAAAACATGGATTGGATATGGAGAAGCAGTGCATTCAATCACATCCTTTCTTCATCAGAATCAAATGATTTTGGATATTCATTTGGATTGGTTGAAGAGTTTTCATAAATATCTTTGGATTCTAAATTCAATCTTTGTGGAATCCTTAGGCCATCTGACATCCATCCCAGAAGATCCAGTTTACATACATGAACAACATGAGATGCAAGAGGAACTATTTGATGTTCTCATCACTATGTTCAGTGAAAATGAAGAAAGGCCCAATCATGAAAGCTTCTTGAGAAGAAAAAATCAAAATGAAGAAAAGAGTGGAATACAAGAAGGAATATCTACTATACTACATTTGAGACATATTAATGGAAACAACAAATCCAAAACAGATTATGAATTGAACGGTCCCCCTCAGAAAGATTTGATTATTTTGAAGGAAGCTTTACGATTCATGTCTTATTATTACAAGAATACCAATGGAACCAAATGGTTAACTTTGTTTGGTAAGGATCAAACAATTTTTGAAATTTTTGGAAGAATTGGGATGAGAAGATTGAACCACAAGTACCATTCCAGATTCATCAGAACCACTCTACCCAAGCTGAAGGCAACCAGGTTGATACCATGGAGATCTTCATTCAGCTTGACACATCTCCAACAAAGTGTGCTCTGCCATCTTTTCAGGAGAAAGGATACATCAAATCATCATCCCCTTCAAGATGATTGATAAGAAAAGTTGAAAGCAGTTTGCTCTCACAAGTTTATAACCAAAACAAAATGCCTTCCCTATTTTTCTAGTTTAAATTTTCACATTCCAGTTTTCAGCCTCTATGCTACTAACCTGTAAGGGTTGTCCTCTGAGTGTTAACAACAAGTGAATTGAGAAGCTTTTATTTGTGTTTATATCCCTCAACCTGTAAAAGAAACAGGGAGGAGTCAGTGAGGAATGGTACTTCTACTGCTGACTCATCCAATTATTCAATTGGGAATCCAGATCAATCCTCTTGCATGGATTGATAGGCTTCCAAGGTGAGGACTTCTTCAACTCACTTGGGATAAGTCTTTTAACAAAAATTCAGATTAATAAGTTATCAACACTTAAGGACCAGAATTTTTTAACCAGGGGGATAATTCTTTATGCAATAGAGATAAGTAGAAATGCCTTGATACTGAGCAAAGTAAAGCTGTTTAGGTCTAAGGTAGCTAAGTGTTGGTAGAGTTATTGGTGTTTTGATTCACTCATAATCACGGTACAAGTGTTGGTTTGATGCTACTAGAATTTCCTGGGGGGAAAAGGTAGGAATCAGGGCTCCTTAAATACTCTACAGAGGGCTCAGGGGAAGAGGAGAGGCCCTCAGGGCACTAGGGAGATTCTTAGCAGCTCTACAGTTTTGTGTAAACATGGTAACTGTAGCTTTTCAGTGCTGTGCATTGATGGAATGTCATAGGACATGAGATCATACATGCATAATTGAATTTGTGGCCCATTTCTCACGTAATTGAATGAGCTGCAGTTACTGTGCAAGGGCTGCACAATTGTAGAAGTAGATTCACACGTGTAACTCTGCTTATGCAAGCTTGTGATCATGAGAAATGCATGTGCTTCATGCATAATTCAGTCTTGCATGTAGAATTTGGGCTCCTTTCCCGTGGAGGCTACTTTGAATTAGAGCACAAAAGGGTCCTGATGACACCATCCAAGAGGTTTATGATGCAATCTGATGATGTGATCAAGGATGAGTAAGCTTCAGGTAAGCTTATATAGCTTATTCCTCATCCATTTCATGCTTCTACTAGCTGTTTCTTATACATATGTAATTAGTTTATGGATTATAAAATATGTACATAATGTATAAGAATAAATATTATTTTAATACCTTATTCCAATGATATTTCTGTGAAATCCTAGTGATATTGTATGTACAATACTCAAGGGGATTTCACAGTTAATTATTGAATTATCAAATATAAATTATTAATTGAGATTAAATGTAAATACATATATATTTATCTATTATTTTAACAACAAGGTATAATGTTTACTTGTATTCAATTAATTATTATCTTGCATTAACTCAGTACATTTCACGTACTGTGAAAGGTGCTCTGTGGCTGACACCATTTCCCATGTCCAATTTCAAGGATGGTTGCTTTTGGCCCCCCAGGCTGCAGTACAGCTCACGTCTGCCATCCAAACCCCACATCTCTGCTCATGAAATGAAGCATATGAATACATAAGACAGTTTAATAATATACTTTGTATCAACAATGTAACCAATCCAATAGAATCCAATACAATACAATACAGTATCAGCCAATTTATTGGATTGTATTGATATTAATACCAGGTATCAAAAAACAGGGGATTGGATTTCCCTAGTGATCCAATACTTGGGTATTGGATCGGGCTTGGGATCACATTGCAATCCCAATCCGACACCCAAAAGCTGTGGGGCATGTGTCTCATGCTCTTGTATCATCAACAGTGTAACTGATCCAATCCCCAGATTGGATCAAAATGAGCCCCAATACTGGGTATTGGGATCGGAATGCTCTACACAATCCCAGTTCTCCAATAAATCAGGATCAGATTAGAGATCAATCCAATCCCGATACACGGTATCGGGGCTCATTTTGATATGATCCCCAATAAATACCAATCCGGGGATTGGATTGGTTACATTGTTGTTTGTATCTCTTTTTCACTTATGCTCAATGGTCACCAACTATTGTTTTCTCATACAATTTGCCTCGTTATTTTGGCAAAAAAAATCTCTAAAGAGTCAAATTATAAATCAGAGTGCTGTTTGGTGAAACAACCTGTTCATCTAAAATGTGCCTTCCCTTTGTCAATGCGGCAGGAAATGTGAACACTAATCTGATCAGATTCAACACATCTGAAGATGTTTGGTGACGGTACCATAACAGCCATACAAATATACTGGAGACATTTCAAAAAGCAATCGATTCATTTTTTGCTTGCATAAAAAGGATGTGAAGAGCTGAAATCCAATTCATCTGTTAAACAAGGAAAGCATTCGACCAGTCATAAGAAAACGAGATCGGCATTCAAATTGAATCATTAATGTAATATTACAAACTCTTCCTCATGATAACACTTGCGTATTCTTTTTCCCTTCAGGAAAGCAAGTTGAATAGAGGTTCTGCAGATGCACACCAGTGAATGAGAATGATTATGTAACACAAGAGTATCTCCTCGAGATATGGAGGAGGTTTGGACAGCCTAAGTGGTTGCGGGTTTGAAGATTCCAGGGATATGTAGTTGACTCGAATCTTGCAGCGCACTACCGGCCGATTTGGTGATATCCTGAATGAGTTTTTCGTGACGGGCGAGTTGAGTAGCCTGGTTTTCGGGTTGAGATTGACTGGACGCAGTTCCTCTGGCAGAGCGATAGATATCGCTCATGAATTCGGCGATCTGCTGTTCTCCGAACTCGATTTCCGCACGAGCGCCCCAATGCCATTCGACCTCTTTATTGCTCTCGTTGGGCATTTGCGATTGCCGTCGGATGCTCGCTTGAGATGCCCCACCCCGCCCGGTCTTGGAGCCTTGCTGAGTGCATTCGAGGTAACCTTGCTTGTTGAATTGACTCAGAAGCGCTGGGATGGTGAGTGGTGGATGAGCACATGCACGGGTTGAAGGAGGTTGCCAATTCTCGCCGATTTTGAGCCGTTTAAGGTAGATTAGAAGTTGACCTGCGAGACATGTGACAAGTTAGTACTCAGCATGACATAAATTATCTGCAGAAAAAGGGCGAGTCAGATCTCTGGACGCACTATTATCGATTGACCGTCCATGCATCAGGATCAATGCTAGAATGAATCCCAAGATCCCCAGATGACCAAGTTCATCCCCATGTTTCCAATCCAGAATTGAGTCGTTTGTCAGATTCCAATCGTCTTCATTCGCATCATGATCTGGAATTTCGTCGTCGACAATCTGCGTAAGTTGTTTTATCAAACTGGGCTTCAAGCTAGATCGAAGCACGTATTGTTTCGTTGATGAGCCTGTGATCCGGGGAACGAAGGTTTGGAATAGCCTCATAATTAGCATCATGGGTGACAGCCTCACAAGTAGCATCATCCGTTCTGAAATCAGGACACGCAAATATATGCAAGTGGATTTCAATTCATGACTAACCTTTTGTTTTCTGAGATTTGCTTGGAAGGTTATCATCTTCACCATCGTGTAAGGCCTGTGAATTCTTCATGCTTGATTGTTTAATCGCGTTCTGAAGATCAAGTTGGCCGGCATTGTTCCCACGAGATCGCATTTCGACCAGCTCCATCCCAAAAACCGAGGTGAGTTCGATGTTGCATTTTTCCAGTAACTTGTCGAATTGTCGACCTTGGGAACCGAGAAGTCCTTTGAAAGGGAAAAATAAATAGACAAGGGGAGAAAATGAAGATGAAAGGGTAAGCAATAAATAAACTTGATCGCTAAGTTCCGGACACGATGGAATTCATACCTTGTTTGGTAATATCGTCCCTCTTAAATGGTCTCCTTTTCAGTTCGTTAATCAAGGCATATCGTGCCAGGTCTCTGACAGTAGTATCATGAATTGCGCCTTGACTTTCCTGGCATTGAGCAGTCGAAAAAAGAGATACCCAATTGGATGAGTCAGTGTTCAAGAGACCTCTTCAGAACGGGAGAAAGTATCTCACCGCCATAATGTATGCTGTCCTATAGGTTGATGATGGAGAAGATGTGGTTGCGACTGTGGGTGGGTCTGCTCGGCGGTTCGGCTGGTTCTCGGCCATGCGCAGATCGCGGACCTGGGGTTGCCTGGCCGTGTCTTGGACCCCTGGTGCCCCGGGCGTCCATCCATCGGCATTCAAAAGCGGGATGCACATACGCCTCGGGGACACTTCTTGCCGCGCGGCATTGTGAGTCCCACACACAGGTGGCACCAGTTTGATTCACCTCCTCTTTCAAATGAGCGAGCTTAACAAAGCCTCTCCAAGGAGGGCGACCTCCTCGGAGGGACCTTGTGTTAAGTTCGTCAAATGAGGTGGTGCCGAGTCTGACCAGATTCCCAGTGAAGCTCTCTCGACGTGATGGTTGGTCAAGCAGACCAGGCTTCGGTCCTTGGATGGTTCTATTCATTCATCACCGATCCGAGCCAGGACCCGCACATAACGACGCCGTTTGAGCCTCGGCATCACAATTAGATTTTTTGATGACTTGATTGAGTCGGCGGTGAGGAACGTCGGCTGAAGCCAGGGTGACTAGCTATCTCCAGATTCCGGAGGATAGGATTGATAAGGAGGCACCATGGAACCTGCTTCTTATGATCTATCTTGTGACCCCCGACGTTGGCTCATGACTTTCTTGTTTTTATGTACTTCTTGATCTGCAGTGTGAATCTCGTCCGGGTCCTCTTCTAACTCAACAAAGTCCCTCTGACATGGGAGGGGAGCACCGCCGCACCCGTCCCTCCCTCCGGTCGGCGCAACGCGACAAGTGGTTCACCACTCCGACCAGGGGGCGGGACCTCTTCACTCTTGTGCGATGCAACGGCGGGCGCGCTCGATTCCGAGGTGACCGAGGTGACCATCCCGGTGCCTTTTTCTGAACAGCCCGCCCCCTGACGGCCCCCCTCCTGCAAAGCGACGAAACACCGGAGCCGGGCCGGCGGTTTGTCCAAGCGTGACTGTGGGCATGCCGCAATCTCCTCTTTTCTGGCTCTGGGTGAAAGGCTCACATTACTCTCAGACATTTCGATGCGGATTAACCGATTCAAAAGACGTTGAATTTTCCAAAACTGATTTACATGAAATGATGGCGAGACTGGAGAGATAGCTCATGGCACTAGCAATTTCAAGGGAAGGAACGAAAGATGTACAAGCAGGAAACCCAGTCTTCTTCGATTGAGAGAATGATGAAAGAAGAAAACAGTCTGGATCTGCTATTCAAGGGTTGATGTACCGAGAACTTAAAGCCAACAACAAATACAATAAGATGGATGATCAAAAAAAAAGAAATTGATCATCGAGGATTTGGTCGGTAGTTATATTACTCGGATTTCCACTTTCAAGCCGGAGGTAAACACAGTGTGAGTGGGTGGGGGGGCCACTATGGCCAGTCAACTGATCTACCAACGACATGAATGTTTCTGAGAGCGATGGACACTCCTATTATTATTTTGACCGATTTAGACGTGAAGGAGGAAAAAATGGAACGAAAAGAATGCCGGAGATTGGGTTTCAGAACGGGCCACAAGGCAGGTCGGATACGAAGGACGAGCTAGAAGCTGCCATCAACAGTAGTGAAGCAGGCGGCGTGAGACGGCGAGACGAGGATCGTATGATCGGGGGATATCGATGGCACACTGTCCCTTGTCCAGATTAGATTCCGCATTTGTTTTGTACCTTGGTGATGGGAAGGGGGACGACTTGGGATTGGGGGGCCATCCAGAGCTCAGAGGACGAGCACAAAAGGCAAGCTGGGTGGAGGTGACAAGTTGTGGGTCGCAGCTTAAACTAGCGCAATGACTTGCTACGCTGCCGCACCGCCGCGCCCTGCCGCACCGACATTTTTGAAACACAGGAGAAAATACAGAAATCTGCATATTTTTTGTACATATGCAAACAAATGCTTCAAAATAATTGAAGATTCCAGTCCATCCTACAAATCACACATCCATTAGCCCGGTTCACATTTCACACTTTCCACTGCTAACTTGTAATAAACTTTCTGCTTGCTGATTTCGAAACTCTGTCCAAACTTGCACTGGCAGCAGGCTAATTTTAAGCGTGAGATCTCAATTCCCTCTGCTAACTTCAAATAAAAAATTTGCTAAAAAATTTGAAATGTGAACCGTCCTATTGAGACGAGCCGTCAAAAGCCCACCATGGGTCTGGTTATTCCATGAGATCCAAGAACCAAAGACGCCCAATTGCACGGAAAACCCAATGCGAAGAAGCAACAAGTAACTGCAAGCTTTGGGAGCCCAAGCTAGAGCCAGCCTGTGAATACATGGATCCAAAGGCAACGTCACCAGCTTGTGAGAACAGACACAAAGCTGAGGCCCGAGGGATCCAGTTTTTAGAGTTCCAATGGTTCGTGGACAAGACAAGAGCTTCACTCTCATAGTTGGGCAGGAAACATTCCACTAGGGAGGTTAAGCAGAGAATGTCTGCCTCTTCTAGTGCTCTACATAAACACAAGGAAAGGAAATGTGTAGTGATGAAGGAAAGATAGCTGTGCCTTGATTCACAGGGGATGTTACTGCAGCCAAGGCCGGCATGCCACCCACCAAAGTGGTGCACCTCATCCTCTCCATTATTGTGATCAAGGTGTGAGCAGAAGAAACAGTTCCAAGGCAAGCGAGCTGCTCGTTCGCAAAACAATCTAGTGCTTCACATTAGGCTTTCCTGAACAACTACATGTATGCAAGAATAGAGTCTAACTTGTTTGCTTGAGAAGAAAGGTCTATACAATTTCTTTTGTACCTATGAATTACAGCCATAACGAGATACCTTGCGGTTTCGCGAGTCTGAAATTCCCAAAGAAAAAAAAAAAAAAAAAAAAAGGATGAGAATATCGGATCTTGCAGGAATGTTTGGAATAATACATGAGCTGTATTATTCCAAACATTCCAGGCTGTATCCTTTCTCCGGCGGCCGCCCGATGCCCACCATCCCTGCCCTCCCCCATCTGATACCAGCCGCCCCATCTGATACCAGCCGCCCCATCCACCCTTTCCGACCAGGCCCCACCGTTCACAACCCTATGTACTTTCCATTAATTCTATTTATAAATATAAAGTCAATTATATATGTCTATAATTAGTATCTAACTGAGAATATATGAAGTACTTCTTTTTGTTTATGTAAAAAAAAGTCGAGAAGTGATTAGACATAAGAGAAGTTGCTTGTGATGGTCGATGAATGCAAAAAGAAGATGATCCAAGTGTTGAACATTGAGTACACATATTTATAACTTTTTTTGAATCTTATCCAATCAACACAAGTGTATAGGATATACGTACATATAAACGTACATGCAAACAAACAAACAAAAAATTACATGACTAGGGCAAGCAAAGAGCTCTGGAATAGAGAGAGACGTGTGTGTGTGTGTGGGAGGAAGGGCAGTCAGGGTCACGACTTAGGACAATCGTCGAACGGGGTTTTCTCGAGCAGATCGATCGTAGCGCCCAAAGCCCTAATAAAAAAACCCCCGTCACAAAAACAAAACATCAGTCACAACAGAGTCAAGAAGCGGGGTTGAAGGAAGGAGGGAGCGAGAGTACTGACCAACCGAGTTCGATGGCGGTGATTTTCTTGCTGATCTACAAGACCCAAAGCCAAAGAATCAGGACCACGAAAAGAGGAAGGAACAAGAGAAAGAGGGAGAAAGGGACATACGATGATGGGCCGATGATGATCGAGCTGGTAGCCCAGATCGAGGATAGCATAGATGAACGACAAGTCCAAGCACGTTTCGGGACGGTCGTCGAGCTCGGCGAGGATGGTCTGAAGATCGAGGTCGCTGAGGTTCGAGGGCCCCTTCTTCGCCCGGGCAGCCGTCCGGAGCCGCGCGATCTCACGCTCAAATCGGCCCCCATCCGAGACCGTCCGGCTACAGATCGGCTCGATTAACTGCTCAAGCTCCGAAAGCGTGAAACTCTCCTTGATCCCCAAGGGGCTCAATCGATCGTAAAAATATGATAATCTAAATGTAAATGTAACCCATCAGCAGTAAAAACCAAGCATCGATCAATTAACTTTCATTTTCATTTCATTTCATTTCATTTCATTTCATTTCATTTCATTTCATTTCATTTCGTTTTTTTTTTTTTTTTTTGGAGAATGGGGTAAGTAGGAGAGCAAGGAGCTAACGCATAGATAGGACCGTCTGCAAAAGCCTCAGCAAAGCTCGGTTGATAGACCCCAGCGAAGGCGCAAGGTTTGAGTTTACAGACGGCGTCTTTGCCGATGACGAGTTCGACGACTCTCCGACAGGCCGCGAATCCGCCTGCGGAGCCAACGAATTCGACGATCTGCGGGAGAGTTGATTCAGGGGAGGAGGGAGAGGCGGATGGGACGAGGGAGACCTTGCGGGAGGTGTGTGGCTGGAGACAGGGGTTGCCGAGTGGGCCGAGACTGGCGAGCTCGCTCCATTCGATCTTCCGGCGCCACAGCTCCGAATAGCCTACCATCTGGTGCACCGCCCGTCTCGCTTCCATCAGTCCGTACCCCAGATGTGAGTGCTGGTATAATGCATGCGTCTTCCCCCCAAACGCTAGCTCGTATACGTGCCCTCCGGACTCTAGTTTCGTCCGTTCTGGCTCAAAGACTATCTGGGTCGACGCCCCTCCCAAGTCCATTACCGCTGCCGTCGTATTTCTCTTCTGTCCTGCTGGGATCGGTCCGATCGTTTTTAAGAGCTGGAGATGAAGATTCATAGTAAACCTTTTCAGCAACAAGTCTTTTTTCTGAAGATGGGCCAGCAGAACAAAGAGAGAGAGAGAGAGATAATTTCATAAGAATGGGGTTTGTCGAGACTCACGTAGTTGATCGTAACCCAAGCATAGACGCCTTCATCAGCGCCATCCATGATAGATACGGCCCCAGAGGGAGATAACTTAAAAGGCCAGGAGGCCCGGAGCCAGCGGGAGACCTCGTCCAAGATTTCCTTACTCTGAGAGTCGCCGAGGAGTCTGAGGCCAGCGGTAGCCTTGACGGAGATGGGAGTACAAGAGCGTTGTTCGAGCGGGACCCCATCGAGTGCGGCCTGGAGGAGCGGACGGAGGGACTCGGCGGCATCGATCGGCCGGCCGGCGTAGCTCGATAACCCGGGCTGGGTCTTGAAGAATAACTCGTTCTCTAGTTTCGGGAGGATCGAGCCGGAGGAGGAGCTGGAAGTGCTCGAGGCTGGGAGACAGTATGAGAAGCGATAGACGTGTATCCGGGATCCCGTCGAGCCGGCGTCGATCATGAGCGCATATCGATGGCTAGGATGTCCTGGTGGGGGCCGACAGTTGGGGTCGTTGGCAAGACTGATCAGATCGCTTGATGATGAGGATGGTGGTGGTGAGTTCCTGAGCCTGAAGATGATCGAGTAGGAGAAGGTGATGATGATGAGGATGACGAGTAGCGAGTTCCTTCTCCAGCCGCCATACTTGATGAAACGTTGGAACGAGCCCATCTCAGTCTGATCGTCAGTCGATTGGCCAGTGGAGAGTATGGGTGATTGGGAGTGGTGGTGGCCCTGGAGTGGATGGAGTGGATGGTAGACTGCAGAAGATGAGGCTGAAGAGGATGAGGATGAGGATGAGGGTGGTGGGAGTGGCATGATGATGGTTGGCTTGGGGTTTGCTGGAGAAGCAGTTGATTGAGAAAGAAGCAGTCGCAGTCCCAGCTGACCAAGCCAAGCCCAGGAACTTTAAATCCACTACTTAAACTCTCATCCAACCTCACACCTCCCTGGCAACAGGCTCAGTTTGATGGAATTCTTTGATATTTTTTTCAAACTCTCATTAGTTCCTAATTATCTAACATGAAAAAAGTAGCAACAAGAGAAGATGAGAATCATAGATAGGTGTACAATGATCATAGGAAAAAAAGATAAATAAGTCAATAAATAACCAGATCAGATCACAATGTATTAGATAAAGAAACGAACAAGAGAAATGAAGTTGTGAGTGAAGGAAAAAAAAAGGATTTATTAGATTTGAGGGTTGCGCTGGCAAGAAGAATTGACAAGTGCTTTTCTTTTGGGAGGAAGGAGGGGTTGGATCAGGCATGTCTGGTTAAGGCGGTCAGATGTCTCATCAGCAATTCATATCTTTGTAAGGGGGGCCCATTCACAGGTTCGGACAGAGATAGATTGATTGACAAAAGGGTGGATATGATTTAGCATACTGATCGATATGGGATGCTCTTCAAGAAGATACAAGATGGAGACTACTGACGTTAGGATAGTCAAGGCACTACTGGGCACGGTCCGGGATTAGGTTAACACCCATTCCATGGTAGAGACCAGCTAGGCCTTCGTTCTGGACGATCATCCGAAAGATATCGCGGAGTTTAGGGTAGACCATCTTCGAAGGTGTGTAAGCATGAGAGGAAGGGCTGGCAGATTTCAGCGCATGTACTTGTAAGCGAGTCCGCAAGACCTCATGGGGATAGGTGAGTAAAGAAGCAAGCATCTTGGAAGTGGCGGAGGCGATTAGGATCCGGCTCGAAGGCAGATCGGCGGCCGACTCCTTGTGGTAGTATAACTTGATCTGCTCGTACAGCGGGAACTGGATTGCCACATGGGTCACCCCAAACAGACTCGGCACCAGACCCCGGTAGAAGCCTCGCAGACCCTCCTTGGCATGGATCCTTCGAAAGGCATCAAATGTGTGGCGGTAGCGTTCCGATTGTGGGTCCCGAATCACTCGCTGAGTCTAAAAAAATCTCTCTCTCTCTCTCAGCCTGCATACCTCAATAACAAGAAACTTGAGCTCCACTGAAATCTTCTACAAACCATAAATCGTGTCTTGATCAGCCATAGTGGATTGGTTGCGATCGTTGAAGTAGCTCCAGCCGTCATGGCTGCCAATACGTGCGCAACGACATCTTCCTGATGATCTAAAAGAGCCAAAGTCTGGTCAATTAGTTCATTCCTGATAGATAATCGTTGGTCATAAGAGGAAAGAGATAATGATCAAAAGACTGAATGGTGTATGAGACCCCATCAAGACTGATGAAAATGACATTCTTTGATCGGGCACTGACTGGGTCTCGAGTCAGCCAGCTTGGCCTTAGCAGCATCGTAGACTGTGAAGTATATTGCCCAGGTGGGCAGGTAGCCGATGATCGTTGGGCCCAATCCACGATAGAGACCTCGGAAGCCTTCCTCCCGCCAAATGATCCTCATCGAGCCTATTTCACAAACATCCCAACCACGTCGAGATTAGAGCTGATAATAGTTTCCCCAATTCCAATGTAGATGATCGAGCTGAGATGAGTCATACCAAGTAATCCTTCATAATAGTCCACCGCTTGATGTGCCGTAAACAGTCCACCCTGCGCTTGCAGTTTCGTCTTGACTACGTCTAACGGGCAGGTGACCACACTGCTCACCAAGCCAGCCCCAGCACCTAGAAACAATTGAAGGCGAGACTCGGGGTTCTAGTCAGTCTTGATGTTTGATTTATCATGTTCATGTTGAGATCATACGAGTGTGTATGTACAGGAGGATGAGACGGACCGGAAATGATCGACCTGGATTAGCGCGCCCAAAGAACAAGTGCAAACAAAGAAGCGGGATCACATGTGAGATGGAGAGGAACCTTATAGCTAGAGTTGCAGTAGAAGGAAAAAGAAAAAGAGAGGAATCCGGAATCCTTACTCGGTCCCAATCAGATAGCTCCACCGCCCTCCACCTCTATCATCCAGATCCTTGAGGAGCCCACGCATCCAAGCTCATGCGGAAAATCAGCCGCCTCGAGAACAATTTGATCGATTGTTGTCCCCGCCGCCAAGTAAATCTGCTGCTTATTCCAGAGGCCGTACGAGAGACTGTTTGTTTTGTTGGCAAGAGATCGAGCTCCGAAGGTCCTACGTCGACGATAGACGATCTCCCGAGTCGAATGGCTGCCTAGTTGTGCTGTTTTCTGCGAATCTGAGGTGGGTCTTGTTTGTGAGGGGTAAATTTCCTGGTTTTTGAAGGTACAGTGGTGGGCAGAAGTAATTTGTTCGATGGGAAATCGGCAAACCTCCAACCGCCCAAACGGCCGACCGGGACACAAAGCAATATGCTAGAAATGCATAACCCCAACCAGAAACAAAAGCAAAAGCAAAAAAAAACTCAACCAATCCAAATATGTACGTACATCCACCAGAATTCTCCTGTCAATCTTACATATTTATAACACACTTTTACATAGACAAATAAAGTTGAACAGAATTCAAGATTACATAAATATGTGCAAGTTGATCAAAGGCTATCTTGATGAAAATTTATAAACTTGCCATAATATTTTTGGGTATCATTGTCCACTCTTGAATGGTTGGTTGAGAGACTTGTTTTAACATAACATGAAAGCTGGCTTTCCAGCTCTGAAGATAGCTACGAAGTTTGATAGACTGGCAGGACACTTGAAGGAAAGGCTCTTATGGCTTGAAGACAGATTGGCCAGCCAGTGGAACAGGATATATATACTGGGAGAATTCCTGTGTCTGAATGGCTTGATTGGGAAGGCAATCCACAACCTTAGTGGCTGGGAAAAGCTCCAGCTCAATTGATTTCCACAAGCAATATGGTTTAGGACTTCCTTCTAAAGGAAAAAATTGAGATCAGAAGAAGTACTCCACTTCTTGTTACTGATGGCTCCATGGGACCCAGGTACCAGTTGCTTTTTTGGCCTAAAGGCGGCACCAGGTACCTGCACCCAGCGCTGTCTGGCAGGTACCGGCGGTACTTGAGGTGGGTACTGTTGTGACCTAGGTCACATAGGCTTACTTGGCTGCGGCTCAGCCAGCCGGAGGAGACTACATCTGTCTCCTCCGGGACACACTGAGAGCAATCCATATGGTTTTGACCCCTCTGAGTCACTACAGGTTATGAGCCTTCGATACCGGCTACGCTGAAGAAATCTCAAACCAACAAATAATACCGGATCAATCTTTCAAATTCTTGCCGACAAATCTTACCGGCCCAATTCTCTCAAGTCTTCAATTTTTACAGGCCGACAATTAGTTCCGGATATCTCTTTTATTTTTCCATTTTTTTCTCATCTCCAAGTCCCTCGATCGTCATACCCAATGGACCCTTATGCTTGGAATGCTTACAGTTGGATTTGTTTGTTCTTGGCCGACTTAAATCTTGTTCTAGGATCTCCTTCATATGAGACTCCATCTAAACCGGCCCCAGTTTTCAATCAAATTGTTTGTCCTCAAAACTTAACGCTCCATGGTCCTCATCAACATCTCCGGTCAAAACAACCAACAAATCGCTTGCAAGCTTGGAAGATGAATCACAAACGGAACGATTGAGATTGATTGGAGAAAGCTGCTTGCCCCATGCCACCAATTCATTCAGTCACTCAATGCAAGCTCAGCAGCAATTCCAAGGCATATAAATTACGGTTCCCTCCGAATCGGTGGCAAGACAATGTTTACTGCCACAGAGAGTGTTACAGGCCAATCAGAAACACTCAGGACGCTTGTCATATTCAACAACCACATCAAGTCAATTCTTTTGATTACCCTAACAATACGACAGATAACCACTTGTCACTTGAGCCATCCAGTAACACAATGATTGAAGACCAAGAGATTGCTTGTGGTTCAGAAAACGTGATGTATGAAACACATGAACTGGACAAAATTGATCTGGATGAAATTGAATGGGATGACCGTTCTGATCTTGATATCAATGCAGCTACCCATCAGTTCCACCCTGAACAACTTGTGACCTCCGAGGCTATTCCAGAAGAGTCTGTTCAACAACCGGAGCCAGATTTTGACCTGAAGAACTACAGCGCCGACGATGTAAACCGCTGGGCCAGCACCTTGTCAGCAGAAGAATTCAAGCACCTTCGCATCATGGGACCCGATGCTAGAACTGAATCTTTCCAACAGTATGCTATCTCCAATCTTGATTGACCGACTCTGACGCTTACTCAACAAACCTCATCAGCTCTTGATCACCTTGAACAACCATCGACTACACCTATTGGCCTCCAGTACACCAGTAATAAATTCCACTACCAGCCTGACAACATTAACAACAATGACTTTGACCAACAGCAACTCCATCCTCAAGACAACAACTTTGGATCTAATCTCTACAATCACTTTGATGAACACACGTCTCAAATGGAGGAAAATTTAGATGGTTTGGAGACTGTTGATGCCAACAGTGGTTTTGATGATGGAGGATTTGATGATGGCGGTTTTGACAATGGCGGCTTTGGAGATGGCGGCTTTGGCAATGGCAGCTTTGACAATGGCGGCTTTGATGATGGTGGTTTTGATGATGGTGATGGCTTCAGTGATGATGATGGTTTTGATGATGGCAATGGTTTTGATTATTATTAGTTTTACTTTCACAATCTCTCCTCTTTCTCAATTCTCAACCCACAATGCTCTCTTTAATTTTTATAGGGTTAGGTTTAGGGTTAGGTTTAGGGTTAGGTTTAGGGTTAGGTTTAGGGATAGGGTTAGGTTTAGGGTTAGGCTTAGGGATAGGGTTAGGTTTAGGGATAGGGTTAGGTTTAGGGCTTAGGTTAGGTTTAGGGTTTAGGGTTTAGGGTTTAGGGTTTAGGTTTAGGGTTTAGGGTTTAGGTTTAGGGTTAGGGTTTAGGTTGGTTAAGGCTGTTTTTTTTATAAAAAAATTGGCAAAACCGATTTTTACCCAGCTCACTCAGCTCACCCAGCTCATATACCCAGCTCACCCAGCTCTGCTTGTTCTTTGGTTTCAAACCAATGATAATTACACCATTATCTTTGGTTTGGGACCAAAGGATCCAATTTCCAAAACTTGGATTTTTTATATAACCAAAAAATTGATCAATTTTAGGAGATTTTTAGCATATTCAGAATTGCCAAAAAATGGATTAAAAAGGCTGAGGAAAACTGAGTGTAGAAGCAGAAAACCAGGTGTGAAAACCCGGGTGTGGATAGCAGAAAAGGCAAACTTGACACAAGTCTCCAGCTGCGGCGGGTGCATCTGGCAGCGTAGCGCTGGCCAGGCGGTTCCCAAAGGGAACTCCCCGCAGGGGAGACTTGCGCCATACATCGACAGACTGGCACGCCCAGATTATGAGTTTTGGTGGGAGCATCACACCTCTTGGAATTACAGACTTCCCTCAAAGTTTTGAGGGTGTTTGGTTAGATTTTCTTGTTGTGCTGCGTGATCTGCTCTTTACATCCAAAACTCGGAGCTTATACCGCACCACATGAATTTATAATGAAATTATAATTTTTCAGCCTGAAAATCATTTTGGGTAATACTTACTGATCCCATCAACCATGTATGTCAAAAACCTTATACCTATAATCTGCAAAGTTAATTAATAAAAAAAAGGAACATATAACCATCGGACATAACCCCAGTAGTAGAGCGTCTCATCAATAAAGGAGAAGTCGTTTTTTGTTCCACCTCGCAAGTCAAACAATCTGAAAAAAAAAAAAACCTTTTACGATCCTTAAGCAAGATGAAGCGGAGACCATTCAAACCTCAATTTAAAACCGAATACCAAAAAATCCGATTTGTCTGCAACATCATCTCGCGATTCAACATGACTCCAAAGAAATTCATCTTGGCTTTCCTCACGAACCAACACATCGATTTGGCTTTACGACGTGGATGCTGGGGAACCAAGACGGTCTGGACAACAACGTTGGAGCTTATTCAAGCGATCAAGCGACTTGCAACAAAATCGAAGGCAAGTCGATGCCTATGGAGGGAGTTTATTCTACAGGAGGTGAGTGTTATCTTTGATTCATTATGTGATGATGATCGGATTCGATAAGAGCTGATGAATTCCATTGTTTGACAGGCTAAAACCTTTGTCAACAGCAAATCCCCCAAGCGAGGTGTATTTCCGAATGGTGCTTACCATAACTCGCAAACGGTTCATGAGAATTTTTTTGCTTGTCAATCGAAAGACGACCGCGACTCCAAGCTTGTGACAGAAGACATGCCGTTTCTATATGAACTCATTTCGTCAAAGCTTTTTAATCGAATAAAAAAAACCTCAAGAAAGTTCAAACAATGATTCCGAGGATGATGAGTCCACCTCGATCGACTCTGAAGATAGCGATGTAGATTTAGCATTCAACACTGGACGCTTCGACTGTTGAGCCTGGACGTGATCACATTAGGAAGGTATCCAAGAACAGACAAGAGACACGAGCACATATGGTTTGTTCAGACACACAAATTGTTTTTTTTTCCTTGATAATTTTAATGACTATTTACTGTTTATTATTCCAGACAGCAAACACAGTATGTGCAATGGTATCATTTGGAGAGAACCGAAGGGCAAACTCAATGCAGCTCTATAACTCAGTTGTATTCTTGGCCTGCGGAGTGACCAAACGAATCAATAGCTACCTTCACTACATTGGACTTACAATGTCGCACAAAACAGCACTCTCAGCTCTCGATTGATTGGGTCATCAAGCGAAGAAGAGAATTGCTCAAAAACTCTCTGTCTCTGCAAGAAAACCTCTCTTGCCCCTACTCTGCATCGACAATATCGACTTTGAGGAGCGCGTTCATTTCAAATCAGTGGAAAAGACTAGCCACATGTTCCATGGAACATGGGGCTATGTTCATACCCTCGATCCCAGTCTCATCCTCGAAGCCAACCCAGAAGAATTCTCAATGAATCAATTCCAGAAGGCAATTAAAGATTCAGTTAACCTCAAGATATCACCAACAATGTTTCTCCCAACATTCGAAGAGGAATCTCACTTTTGTAATGCCATCAAAAGTCAAATTGCTCAAGTTATGATGTCTTACATAGCAACAACAGACAATCCAAAGAGCTCAATTCCACTCGAGCCACCTTCGATTGATCAAATACGTGCTCAAAAGCCAGACATCGAAATGTTTGAACTAATGTTGGCATCCGATAACTGCGCCGAAGGCATTGGCAAAATCTTGACCGATATCATCAAACAAACCAATCTGACTCCTGACAAATTTTTCTCAGAGCTGAAGATCATGGACGGCGACCTCGGTACTCTCCAAAACATGGAATGCTTGCGAGGCCAAAGAAAACCGAGTGGACACAAGGAAGATAGCCTTGGAAATATCTTCATGCTTTTGGGGGCTTCTCATACCCTATGGAATATAGCTCAAGCAATCTATCTCAAGAATTTTGGAAACAATAAAACTCAAGACGACCTTGGTGCCTGGAGGACTCTTCAAGCCCTTGGACTTCCCTCAGAAAAACCAGCCGCAAAAAACGACTTCACTCTTATGCTTACAAGCATCCAGAAGATTCACGAGGTCACTCTTATCCATTGTTTACTGTAAGGTTCTTTCTCTACATCCTCTTGATTCTCACTTTCCTCTGACATTTGAACTTCTGTGAATTAGACTTGTCATGGGAATCCCTCGAACCAGCTTACCAAACGAGAAAATCAAGTTGAAAGCAAAATCAATCAACCACGTTATCAACTTATGCTATGATCGATTCTTTGGCTGCACTCAACTCAAAAAGGCCGAAACTTTCAATTCTCCCAAATTGTTCAACCTCATGACTCGATTACGTGATTTTGCTACAATAGTTAAGGCTGATCGATCAATGAAGGCGGGAGATATTGGTCGATTGTTAAATATCTGGCGAAGATGGTCGGTGATGGCACAAGGCATCACAGGTTTAACTCACTACGCAATACACCTCCCTAGAATGATAATCCTAATCACCAAAGTCCTCCCCCCTGCCCTCCGCCACGCAATACAACATTCCCTCCTAATCACACCAAGCGGACGACCAAATCACTTTGTCGCTAAGGATTTTTTCCTTGAGACTGAAAATTACTGGCTCAAGTATTTTTTTAACAATAATGGAGTTGGAACAAGTGCAAAACGCTTGCGAGATGTCTTTTCATCCAATGTTCCATTGGTCAGTTCAACCACCATTCAAACTGTGCTAGAATACATCAAAATGAAATTGTTCCATTCCTTTTTTGAAGCTTCAAAGGTTAATCCGATCAATCAAGGATGATTCCGGCAAGTCTGACTATTATCAATCTAGAAAGCACCACATCACACTTCAAGCAATCAATTCATTCTTGCGGATGGCTATATCAAAGTCAATTGGAGATGGGACCGATTCTTTGCAATTTGATCCAAATACGACAACAGAAAAAGGTAAAGGGACTGGTAGAAAGAGGAAAAGGGCTAAAGTAAAGAGTCAGGATGTGATGAAACAGGGAATGGAAGTTATGCGAGATGATCAGCTGAAAGGGGGATCAATTCTCAAACATCTCCGGCCATCTACTACTCTACTTAGTCCATCATGGGATCTAGAGGCAGGTTTTACAGTTACAAACTCACCTACCTTACTCAATCTTTCACCCAGCAATCATAACAATCATCAGGATGACAATCAAAATTACAATTGATTTTAAATATGTATTTCCTTATAATGATTGTATGCTCAACATCAGAGCTCTAACATTGGTTTTGATATTTTTTTATGAAACAAATTTAAAGTAATGAAGGATCAATCGATCCATTGACTGCTCCACTGGTAGAGGGGGTCGGCCCGACAGCATCTTGAGACCGAGATAATTCACTTGCAGCCTGTGCTTGAGCTTTGAGTTCCTGAAGAATAGCCATGTCACTGTCCCGCTTTGCTTGTTTCTTTTCACTTTCTACAAACTTTGCCTCCTTTGCAACTCGTTTACGTTCCGCATTTTTAGCCACTCTTTCAGCTGTCTCGGCTCTCTTCAATGCGTCGGCTACATGAATTGCTTTCTGTTTTTCGATCCTTTTGTTCTCTTCGGTCTCTCGTGCTAGGCGTAAACGTTCAGCTGGCAAATTCAATTGAGTTTTGGCTTCTTCTTGTTGCTGTGCAACACACTTGAAAAGTTCACCTGATCGGAAGAGTTCGATGTGCTTGATTAAAATTGACATTTGACCAGGCAACATTTCACCACCAATCAATTCCTCGATGTTGTCAATGGTAAGTTGACCAATGTTTTTTGAAATTTGACGAGCTTGTTTGATGCAGAAGTAGGCGTTAGGTGGATAAGTTGCCATGTTTTTCATCACCGACTCGAATAATCTGTTGAAGTAGCCGACTAAATCCTTTGAAAACATCTCAAGACTTTCTTCCAAGGGTTTTTTGCCGGATTCCTCCACCCAGACAACTTTGTTGGTTTGGACACTACAGGATCTTATGATTGGATTCAACTCTGGTATGTCTTCACGCAAGTCCGATATAAAAGAATCAAAGTTTTTGATCGTGGCTCTCTTCATGTTGTTAATCAACCATTGACTGCTTTCGGGCTTACAGTTTGAGCAGAAGCATTCAGCAAATTCTTTCTCAGTTTCACGTGCAGCTTCTTTCTTGTAGTTTGGATCGTCAACCGACAAAGGAACATATCCTAGCCTGGAATCAAAAATCCAATTAGCCTCTTATTTTCTTCATTTATCCTGTCAAATAACGCACGAATTATCAAGTGAAAAAGCTATTTGCAGACAAACTGGAGTGATAGCTAACGCATCCATTCTATCATCATCGTTTTGGAATTTGACGTTGGTGAAATCGGCAACACAGTTCTTTCCATTCTTCCGATTTGGCTCGACAAACATTATAACCAGGCCTGGCTTACCGTCTCGTCTGCATCGTCCCAGCATCTGACATATGGAGGCTGGGTCCCCTCGACCCATATGGATGACGGATCAAACCCTTTTCCAGTTTTGGCCCAACCCAAGCGCCATGGTGGAGGATACAACAGGGAAAACGCCATTTGTGAAATCGTTGATGACGTCACTTTTATCCAAATCTCCAGTTGCAGAGTGGTATCGGCGAGCGAATTTGCTGAAGGGATCATCCTCTCCATGATGTGTCTCTCGAGCGCGGTTGAGGACCTCAAGTACTTGTCCAGTTAGGTTTTTAGTAGTTGAATATATCAAAGTTGGAATGATCTCGGAGTCTTATGTTTGTTCTTGGCTGCTGTACAGACCAGCAAGATCGTCCGAAGATGCAAGGGAGTATTTCATGTTGATTTGCAAGATGCGAATTTCCGGCCTGGTAAGTTCAGCTCGAACAAACTCAACCATGTCCATGTTCAGCTTGAATGATTCTAGAATTTTTCGGATTGCAATTGGGCGGCAGGTCACCGACATCATTAGCAGAGGAGTGCCGTTATTCACCATCAGTCTAGCAGCTAGTTCACCATACCCCGGCCAGAAGACTCCGCGTTCTCCATGTCTTGAATGTGAATTAAGTCCCTTTGATTCACCACTGGCAACCAGGCCCCATACATAGACCATATGTGCTTCATCAACAACAACTAGGCTCAGGCGACTTTGGAAGGTGGTATCAAAGTAGATGTCATGGAAGATGGGATTGTTCAGCAATGCCTCTGGGCTCTGTTTCAATAAAAGTAAGACATAATAATCAGTTTTTTGCTGCATTTGTATTTTTTAATCTGTATTTTTTCATAAAGCAATCACAAACCAGGTACACAAATTCAAACTCTCCAGCGATGATCTGTTTAGCCATTGTCTTGTCCAAGACACCCTTTTTCAAGTTGACCGCTGAAATCTTCTTGTGGGAAGCTCCCACTGATTTTTTCTCATTCACCTTCAAGTTCAAGTAAGAGGAAGGGGGAGTGATAATCACACTCCACCCCCCTTCGCACACACACTCCAACACTCCCTTCTCTGAAGGGAGTGTGGGACCGCACGCCAATCGA